AAAAACAAGCGGCCGGGCAGCCCACCTGGCCCCAGCGCTTCCCCTGCGCCGCCTCTGCCCGCACGCTCCCCTGGGGAAGCGAGCATGGGGTTGTCCCCTTCCCTGTGTGACAGCCATCATCCCCCACCCCAGCTCCCAGGGCGTCCTGGTGGGCGCAGGGAGACCCTGCTCGTGGTGGGGTCATCCTGCCCAGCCCCTCCTGCTGGGGCACCTCTGCCCAGGGATGGGAGAAGAGACCAACCAAAGACCATCAGGTTGCATGTTCCCACCACCCCAGGGTGTGCAAGACCTGGGCAAGAAAGGATTTAGAGGGGAAAGGGGGGGATCCCCACACCTCCAGCTCCTACCTGCACCGGGGGCGACTCCATCGCAAACTCCCCCGTGGGGCTCTGCTCCGCCAGTGCCACCAGTGACAGCCGGACCAGGCTCCTGAGGATGTGCTGGTGGGGCTGCCCAGGTCCCCCGGTACCCACAGGCTGGGTGGGTGGCAGTGGGGGCTCTCCCACGGGCCCCTCTGGTGGCTTCACCAAGCTCTTGCAGTGCGATGGCGCATCCAGGGGGCTCGCAGCCTCTTTCGCCGAATTTTTCAGTCTGTGGGGCTGGCAGGGCCGGCGCTGCAGGATGGGCAGGTTGAAGGTCTCCTGCTGCTCATCCGAGTCCTTTTGGGTCCTCTGATTTCTCAGGGTCCTGTAGAGAGTGGGGGTGAGGTGGAGGGGAGCCTGCGGGGAGCTCCCCGGCGCAGGGGCGGCTGTGCCTGGCAGATCCTCCTGGCAGGGACGGGGGTGCTCAGCCTCCCGGGGCCGGCCCCGGAGCAGCGGGACGAGGTGGATATCCGTCTTCTGGATCTGCCTGTGTGGCTTCTTGAGCTGCTGCTGCCGGCGGGCATCCTCTGCCTCCCTGCAGTTGTAGGCCATGCCGTCCTTCTTCTCCTTCTTACGCAAGGAAAGGGTTAAAGCCAAAAGGAGAAGGCACCCACCCAGGAGAGCAGCCAGGCAGATAACAGCCACCACGGACGGGCTCAGCCACCCGGGGTCCTGGGCTGAGATTTTGGAGAACGCCCCATGATGCCGGAAAACTAAGCGGACCCGGGCCAGGGTGTGCAGGGGGACGTCCCCTCTATCGCTCACCCGGACCACCAGCTCCCGCTCGCTGCCGGCAAGGCTGCTGGCGTTGCTGGTGTTGAGGAAGACCTGCCCCAAGAGAGGGTCCAGGATGAAAAGCCCAGCGTCATCCCCCCCTACCAGATCATACCGGAGAGCCCCGTTGATGCCGGAGTCCACATCCCTGGCTGCGATGGTGAAGAGGAAAGGAGCGTCGGCACACGGCATGAGCGTTGCATTGGTCACTGCTGCGGTCCCTGGGTTGCTCCTGTTCCCAGGGACCACCCAGAAGCACCCCATCTCCGCATTGACCAGGACAGAAAGCACGGCTGTGCCTCCCACCAGCGGCGGCATGGTGACGACGGGTGCGTTGTCATTCCGGTCGAGCACAGCCAGCCTGATGGAGACGTTGGATGCCAGCTTGGGGTGACCACCATCCTCCGCCGTCACCAAGAACTCCAGGCTCCTCACCTGCTCATAATCAAAAGCTTGGAGGGCAAAAACATCCCCAGTGGTGGGGTCGATTGAGACCAGCCCCGAAGCAGAGGAGTCCGAGATGCTGTAGGTGATTTTCCCATTGAAACCCAGGTCAGGGTCAGTGGCACGGACGGTGAGCAAGAAGGCAGGTGCTTCGCTGTTCTCAGCAACAGCAACCTCGTAGGTGGCCTTCTCAAAGGAGGGGGCGTTGTCGTTGACATCGCTGATGCAGATAGTGAGGTGCTTCAGCACGGCCAAGGAGAGGTCACCCTGGTCCCGCACCACCAGCGTCAGGTTGTACTCGGCACGCAGCTCCCTGTCCAGCGTGGCGTTGGTCATCAGCACGTAGCTGTGGCTGTTGGTCCTCTTCAGCCTGAAGTGCTCGTACCCTTGACTGAGGGAGCAATGCACTTGCCCATTGCTTCCCGAATCGGGGTCACTGGCCGTCACCAGAGCCACGAAGCTGTCTTTGGGGAGGGCTTCGGAGAGCACAGGCGCCCGCGCAGCCCAGGTGACATGGACATCAGGAGCATTGTCGTTGACATCCAGGACTTTGACCAGGATCTTGCAGTGCGCTGGGATGGGGTTGGCGCCCAGGTCCCGGGCTTGCACGTCCAGCTCGTAGGTGTGGGTTTCCTCGTAGTCCAGCGGGTGCTTCAGGATGACGCTGCCCGTGCGGGCATCGATGCCGAAAGTGCTCAGCACCTCGGGGGGCGCGTGCTTGCTCAGGCTGTACTCGATCTCCCCATTAGGGCCCTGGTCGGGGTCAGTGGCCGTGACAGTCACGAGGAGGGTCCCGGGCAGAGCATCCTCCCGAACCTCTATCATCAAAGAGCTCTCCGCGAAGACGGGGCTGTTATCATTAGAGTCAAGGACGATGACTTTAATCAAAGCAGTACCTGATTTTGGTGGCTCCCCGTGATCAGTGGCCGTCAGCACAAGGTCAAAGGAAGAGTGCAGCTCACGGTCCACCTCTTTAACCACGACAAGCTCCGCGTGCCTCGTCCCATCGGAGCTGGAGACGACCTCCAGAGCAAAGTGCTCGCTGCGAGAGAGGGCATAGGAGCAGCGGGCGTTGGGGCCGGCATCAGCATCCAGGGCTCGGTCCAGTGGGATCTGTGTGCGCAGGGATGTGCTCTCTGACATCTCCAGCTCCAGCTCAGGTGTGGGGAACCGTGGGGCATTGTCGTTGACGTCCAGCACTTGAACCTCCACGTGAATCAGAGCCAGGTTTCGGGGGGCCAGCACGTCGAATGAGACCCAGCAGGGATCACTGTGCCGGCACAGCTGCTCCCTGTCCACCCGCCCGGCCGTGCTCAGCACCCCCCCCCCGCTCCCCACACGCAGCGGGAACCTCCCGGGGGTCCCCATCAGCTGGAAGGTATCCGCCGTGTCGCCGCTCTCCCCCCCCTCGAAGTGCTCGGCCAGCGTCCCTATCACCGTTCCCAGCGGCACTTCTTCAAACACCCGGTACTGCACCGTGAAGGTGGCCACCTCCTGGGCATCGGTGGAGAGGAAGAGGTACCACCACAAGGCCGGGAGGTGGAGAGCGGAGCGGCTCAGTAGCAGCATGCTGCTGGCAAAGCCCACCGCCCCGCTGCCCCAGCACGCTGCCACGGGCTCGCCCGCCTGCCGCCGCATGCCCCAATGGCCCTTACGGCGCTCGCCCGGGAGAGCCAGCCGCTCCCCGGGCTGAAACGCTCAGCCCGGAGCAGAGGGGACTGCCGCAGCCGGGGAGCAGCGTCCGGCCGGCAGGACCAGGGCCGGGAGGTGGACCAGCCGTGTTTCCTATGGAAACCCCACCTACAGGAAAAGGGAGGACCGGGCTGGTACAATGCCTCGGCGGGGTCGGGCTCCTGGGGCAGCAGGCTTCCCAATGGGGAGAGGGGCGTGGAAGCGCCCTCGGTGTCCAGCCTGCAGGGACCATCCCCACCGCCTCCTGTCACCTGCAAAACACATTTGATGGAAGGTGCAGTTCCTGCGGACAGACCCTAACCCACCCGCAAAGCCTCCCGCGTGCCTCAGGCAGAGCCTGCAAGGACCAGTGATGATGATGATGATGATGGGCTTCAGCTCTTGCGTTACCCCAAAGGCTTGCTCCCCACACTGTTAGATTTCTGCCTTGCTCTGATTTATTCCCGCTTGGTCTAAATCTAGCCCATAATCCCTGCTCCTTGCTCTGCCTTTAGCTGCCGGCTTTGAGGGCGATGTGCCCGTGTCACCTTTGCCAGCGTATGGCTTTTTTATTACATCTCTGCTTCGCTTTCATCTGGACACACCAAAATGAGCTCATGAATCTCTGGGACAGTTGCCACGTCAAACCCAGGGTGGGCGCAAGGGAAGAAAGGAGGCTCTGGCAGACGCGAGCCATGTCCTGTCCGGCCTCTCCCCATGCCCTACGTCCGTCTGTCCCGGCCAGCTCCCCCCACCTTGGCACTAGTGCTCTATCCCCAGCTCAGCTCTTGCTTTGATTTCCCCAGCATCGCTCTGTACCCAGCACTGATTTTGCACCACTGAACCCCTTCTTCCCCTTATTTCAGCATGGTACCGCTCGCTGGCCAGCTGTGCGCACACATCTGCGGGCACAGGTAGCACAGCCTAAAGCTGGTCCATGCGTTCCTCCTGAACAGGCAGCCGGCTGCCCGCAGAGCCCGCTTACGCCAGGCCGGGCTGTACTTTGGGTCTCAGGGTGATCCAAGGCACTCGGGTCACTGCAGACCTTTCCTTGGCCGTTACAGAGAGCAGAGCATCCTCATGGTGCCATTTGAGTCCCACCAGCCACATCATCTTCATCTTGGCCCCTACGTCTACCAGGCAGCCCCCAGCGGCTGCCGTCAGTGCCCTGTGCCCCTCTCCTGCCTTTCCAGCCTTGCTGGGCACCCCCATACCTCCGTCCTATTCCCATCCCTCCCCTTGCAGCTCTGATTTTCCCGGTTGAGGCTCCCCATCGCCTGCCTCCCCTCCCAGTTCCTGGCTCTCATCACTTGTCTTCTATGATAGTAAATTTTAATGCCACAATGGACAGAAAAAGCAAACCCCCCCCCCCAGTGCTGCCCAGCCGTGTTGCCCCAGGGATGGTTAGTGCCGTGGCTCGGCACGCGGGGAGGAAGGGCCGGTGCAGCCTGGCCATGGCGGGGGGTGGCAGGAGACCCAATGCTATTCCCATGCTATTCCCGGGCTCAGCCCCAGCTCCAGGTGACCTTTGCCAAGTCATTTCCCTGCTTTGTGCTCTCGCTTCCTCCTCAGCTGAGCGAAGCCGGCCGGCGGGCTCTCCCGGAGGGATGCTCTCCCGCTCGCCAGCTGCCCGCTGAGCTGCGGATGGAGAAGCGGATGTCTCCCAGCCCAGGCCCTGCTTTTGGGCGGGAAGGCCGCTTCCTTCTGGAGGGAGTCTCTTTTTTTTTTTTTAATGCCTTTGCTTTTCAGGGATGGAGAGGAACAGAACCACCACACTGGAAGATCGCCAAGGAAAAGAAATAAATAGGATGCCTGAGAACTGGAGGGGTTCTCCAAAGAGCCCTGCAAGACTTAGCCTTCTCCCCACCACCTCCCAAACCACCTGCAGAACAGGGCAACCTCATCAAGTGCCCCGTGTTGAACCCACCCCTGACATGCCAGGGGATACATTCCCCCCAGCACCAGCACCCACGTCTGCCGGCCCCCACCCCACCAGCTGGAGGGAGGACGCCCCTTTAGGCTGCTGCAGCCCCAAACCTCTCCTTTTTCTCCCCAGGGGCAGGGAGGTGGATGGGATTTTGAGCCTCATTTGCTCAGCCACCATAGGGAAAGGCTGATGTGACCGTCCCGGCGCTGGGAGGAGCCACAGCCACCAAGAGGAGGGCTGTAACCCCCTCCTGAGCACTGTCCCCCCCACCAGCTGTGCTGTCCCCTGTCCAGATCCTGGTGCTGGTGACAGATCTGGACTGCCCAAAGGAAAAATGAGCTGGAGGAGCTGAGGCTTTAATTGTTATGGTGCTTCAGGAAAAAATCCCTATAGACCAGACGGGTGACCCCAAGCCATCAGGACATGAGTGTTTGCAGGGAGGGCGGGCGCAGGACGCTGCAAAAGCATCGCTGAGCTGCAAACCACGCCGGCCGCACCTTGGTGGAAGATGGGCAAAGTAACAGCAACAAAGAAATGGGGTTGAGCCGAGACTTGCGAGAAGCACAGACAGTAAAGCGAGATCCGGTGCTAAAAGCAAAGGGCACCTCCTCCCGTTTCCCGGTCACACACAGGCAGGTTTCCAACATGCAGGTGCTTCAAGACCTCCATAGACAACGATGGACATGAAATTCCACCCCCCCCCCAAGGAGGATGGCTGCCCCTAAACCTTTCATTTAAATCTCAGAGGGAGCATCAGTCATATTCAGTTATTGCAGCAGCATTCTTCAGCTTCTGCGTGATGCTCCCAGTGCCCACAGCAGACGTAAATGCTGTTTGCTGGCGTGAAAATCTGGCTCCTCCGAAGCTCAGCCGCTCCCCAGGCTCCAGAGCAAGGCACGGGGGCCACCCCAGCCCCCCCAGGGGTGCAGGGCTGTACTGGAGGCACCGCACCGCTCGCCACCCATCCCACGGCAGAGAGCGCCCCCCCCTCTGTTATTTTGAGCTCCACTGCACAGCTGGAGGTCTTCAAATTTTGTTTGTCATTTTGGGTTGGCTTGGTGTTAGCTGGGGGGCCGCAAGCGGTGCTGCAAGTCACCAGCAGGGTGCATGGGGCAACATAAAAATGAGAAGGGAAATTTTTTTTTTTCCCTCAAATCTAATATTGAAAAACAACATCAAAAGGAAAAGAGTTCAAAACGAGCACAGCTAAAGGCGCACCAAGATTTGGCCTCGTTGGGGTGCTCGGGGGAGCAGGACTTGGCCTCTGCTCTGCTCCATGGGGTGGAGGCCAGGACGCAGAGGCCGTGGACAGCAGGGCGCACCCCGAGGTGGGACGCTCTGGGCCAGGCTCTGCTCCCTGCCGCAGAGCACGGCTGCAAACCTGGACGGAGCAGGTAAAAGCGTGGCTGCTCCTCACCAGCTGGTGCCCTTACACCAGGGATCTTGCTTTTCTCCCCCCCCCAAACTGTCCTAGTTTCCCGCCCCGCAGGGACAGGCTTTGCTTCACTAGAAACATCGCT